GGGGGAGGAGGGGGGTACGTTACATTTATAACCCATAATTTGAGAATGCTGGACCAGTCACTTAAACCAAAATTTCCAATAAAATATACATATTTGGGTTTTGAAATAAGAGAATTTTGAGTGAATTTTCTGACTGACCTAATAACAACTACTTAATAAATTGCACCATGCACAAGTCCCTGTCTGCAATTATTGGCGGGGAGGGAGGGGGGGCACAATGCAAAAAAAAATCGTCGCAAGGTTTCCAAAGCTATTTCTGAGGGACATTTGACTTAATTTTCAGCAACTTACGCATGTTTTCTGAAGGCATATGAAGAGTTATTTACGCTCAAAAAGCACTAGGGATATGCTTTGTACTTACAATACCAGGCAGTGCCGCATATTTTGGATCTACAGCCATTTTGGGTGATTCATACAATAGGCGCTTACGCGTGTGCAACGTCAGACCTGAGGTCATAAATTAGATACACGTTATGTGAAATATTGCAAGAAATGTAAGAGATCATTTAGTTACATGATCAAATGCTCTTCCTTAATATAATTACAATCACAACTGCTCTTTATATGCTAATACATAAAATATCTAATTGGGGTTGCAAAGAGCACTATGCGCGCGCTTTGTTCAACGCTAACCTGTCTTCGCAGATTCTCTCCCAGGTATATGACAATTAAACCCCACGATACATCCTTTCTATGGCAATCTTTATCGCAAATTGCCTAAAGCCGTATATTTTACCCCTTTTACGACTGTATTTTTCTTAAACAACAAATAAAAACAATATTTAAAGCGAACTTGGGGTGGGATTAAAAATATCTGTAGTTTCCATCATAAGTAATATTATTAGCCCTTCTAACAGATGGTAGAGCGGTTTCAGGTTCAACGAGAATATCTTTGAACAACAAAAGATTTTAACGGCTTACAATGCTTAAAATGCGATAAAGAATTATTACAGTATTGGTACACCAGTTCCCGACATGGGCTTAACGCCAACGTAGACGTTCCTGATGTAGGCCTACACGAGGCCCAGATTGAGAAACCGACAAGGAGCTTTGCTATTTACTTTGCTATTTACTTTACTATGACGCTAAACAGTACAATGGGACGGTTCAAGTTTTCGCGTCACCATTAAATGAGGGAATCGCTGAAAAATGTTTTCAATTTCTCTATGCTGGTCTGCTTTCCATCCAAGCAATTGCCGCGATGCGACTTTTGAGAAAAACATATTTGGAAAATAATTCCGCCAAGAAGATTCCATTTTTTAATCTGAACGTGGTTTACAGGTGGCAGGACGCGGTGCTTTACTGGGAAAGCTAACGAATCAATTCAAGTTTGGTCACTTTGATTGATAAGCCTGCCCAAAACGTTTCCAGTTAGACGATTTCAGATGCTTTTTTTTTTTTTTTTGTTTTTTGTTTTACACCTAGTTTACGTTTGACTTCACCTCTAACGTTCTAGGGCACGGTGAGAGCCAAAGCGGTTCAAGCCTTGGCGGTTTTAGATTTGAGTAGTCTTTGCCATTTCAAAGGGCGGCTGTTGCCCTGGGCTCTACATGACCACATGAACAGTCTTGATAAGCAGGGCCCAAGAGGTACGGCATAAAATACAAAAATTGTGATAAGGTAAACCAATCGCGGCGACGAAATGAATAAAGAATTTCCGATATTTAATGCAAAAGGTAAATTTGCCGGGACTCACG